GAAGGAATTCTACAAAACAATTCCAATTACTCTTTGTCTTGAAAAAAGATTTGATTCTGTTTCTTATCTTCAATGTGAATCAGTTACCCTTGTCTTTGACTGGAAGCCTGAGGAACATGTCCTGGAAGAAATTAAGGACATTTTATCAGAAGTGTCTGGTAAATTGCTGAAGATTAAATATATAGAGCCTTCAGAATCAATATGTGTCAGTTGCTCCTTTCCTTTCTCTGATGTTGGGTTTACTGTATTGAGAATGATAGAGAATATTCATATACTAATGGGACAAGGATTAAAGAAACTGACTATTGGTAACTTAACATTATGGAGGAGACAAGATGTTAGACAAAAGGTACATAATATGAATAATTGATTATTGTTTAATGAATATTGTATTGTTTAGGAACTGAAAGAAAAGTATCAAGACTTACTACAATATACTGAGGTCAGATAATAGCATAGTTTAAGTTTTAAATGCACAGTACATTTCATTAGTTATATCACTGGTTTCTTACAGGTTATTTCTTATATTATACTTGAAGAAGCTGAATATAAACTAAGAGATACTATCAGTATCAAAGAGAAGGTATGTCATACTACCAGACTGTGTAATGCAATCTTGTATGTATAGGAAAGAATTGAATTGAAACAAGAAATATCAATGGCTCGAGTAACTGAGGTGAGAAATTTTTTGCATACTACTGTATAACGCTTTACTTTGGCGATTTTGCTGTAAAATTGTAATTGGCGGTTTTTAATTTGGCGATTTTTGTGTACACGTGCATTACTGAGCATGTGCATTAATGATTGGCGGTTTTAATATTGGTGATTCTGCTTGCAAACTGCCAATCGCCAAAATAAAACTTCGCCAAATTAAAGCGTTATACGGTATTACTTTAAGCATAGCTCTTAATGTGTTTTATCATATACATGTGCATGTACATGTACTTTACATGAATATATTTTGATTAATAGGTAGAATCATTGTTTGTTCAAAGTGATACTGAATCAGTTAAAGAAGTTCAGGTATATCTCACTAGTTTGTATTAATTATAATAATTATTAATAGGAAGAACCACTTTATGAAGAGTTGACTGTACTGAGGTCTCAGTTTAATAAAATACAAAAAGAAAACAAAGAATTGTCAGACAAATTATCAAAAATGAAGGTTGAGTATTTGAGATCACTTAGTAATATTGATTCAGGTTAGAGTAGCTTTATTAATTATACTAATAATTATATAATTAATTAAAGCTGCTAGTAAAGTGAGAAGAGGAATGTCTTTTGAAATTGATGACTGCAAGTTTCATCTTGAAGCAATGACAAGACCAGACTACAAGCCATTAGTAGATAATAAAAGAATAATAGAGAAATTACAAGAAAGAATAACATTAATGAATATGGAACTAATGACTGAACGAGAATACACTGAGAAGATTAAAAAAGATATTAAAGGTTTTATTGATAATTTGTGTCATCTTTTGATTATTGATAGTAGATCATTTGAAAGATAAAGAGACTGTAGATGAAGAGACTGAGACAGATACTAGTCTGAGTGATGATTATGATGAATCAGAGGATAAAGAAACAGTAATAAGAGAGACTAAAACACTGAGTATTTACTAAATTATTTATTTTATAGATCTGGTTATATTGTAATCATCCTGTTACTGGCGAAATAACGGAGTCATTACTTAAAGTGGATAAAGATGAACTACTACCCAGTGTACTGGATAAAGCTTATGAGGTTTAGTATTTTTAGTTGATTAATTTCTGTTTAATGTTGATTTTGTTCATTTCTTTACCAGTTAGTGGAATTAGCCCCTCATATTCCTATTGAGAGGTGTCGTTTGGTTAAGTATAATTGTGAGTATCAAGTAATGGATCAGTCCTTTGATCTTGATGAGGTAAGTTTTATCAATTCTATTGTTATAATTATCTTATTATTGATTTTAGTATGGGCATCTGACTATTGGACAGATTATGGGTGGGGCTGAATATTATGATATTTTCTTACAAACACGTAAAGAGAATGAAACCTTTAAGAAATACAATGATGGAGGTGAGTGTGGCTTGATATCATAGCAATACCATAGATATTAGAGTAACTTGAATTTATTTACTCTAATATCTATGACAACATCTCTAGTTGTATTATTACATGTGTAATAATGTATTTGATGGTGTAGGTATTAATCTATTTATATCAGTGGTTGATCTGTTAACTGGCGAAGTAGGATCAGCTGAACTAGTGAGAAGTGAAGAAGGATGGACTGTTGAAGAATTAAAACAACATATAGCAGAAGTAAGAGGAAGGATAGGCTGTCAGTCATTTATATTGTTCTCCTTCCTCCATTGATCTGGTCTATTTCTTATTTTAGTTTTTTAATGATATCAATGTATCATTTATGAGACTAGTAATGGAGAAGGAGGATTACCGGGGTTTTAATGCAGCCTATAATATTAGTGATGTAGGAGGTACTCTAGGGGAGATCAGGCTATATGGAGAATTGATCTTTAGTCCATACAAACTAGTAATGAATCATTGAATTTGATGGTGGTTTTATTTTGTAGCTAACCTGCATTTATTAATCTGTGCTGGCAATATGTCGCCTTATACATGCAGTAGCTAGTTATTTAATGACAATTATACTTACAATGTATTTGTATTTCTTTTTTCTCTACACACTGCACACACTCAGTTCTATGTATCATCAGATCCTAAAGATTATCAAAGAGAATTTAAAGATAGTTTGATGTACAGATATGTTGACTTTCACGTCAAATGGATCATACGACTGAACATTACAATACCTCCTGGACCTGAAGCCAGTTGTACTACAACTAACATAGTCGAAAGAGAAAAAGAAATGAAAATTATATCTATAAAAGAGGAAAAGAAAGAAAAAGAAAGAAGTAATAATAAACTATGAAAAAATATCATTATTAATTGAATACGTACAGAGATGCAGGTACAAGTTAATAAGAAAATAACATTAACTCAGTTGAAGGAGGAGCTGGTTCCACTGATTGGTGTACCACCTACTGGTTTTATAGTGTATGGATTTAATGGTTATTTAGAATATGAAATGGAAGGGCTGTATGATACACTAATGGATATTAAATCTGGATCAGAGGTAGTTTAATATGTTATTTGATTCTTTCCATTATATTCTTATAACACACATACTCATCTCTTTGTTATTTTGCGTATCTACTAGTTGATAGTAAGACTGGGTAGAGGATTAGGAAGAGGAGAGGTCAAAATTAAATTATATTTATTACAAGTTAACAATACTGAGGTACATGTAGGAATACTGTATAGGTTGGGATATATTTGCAGCTGTAATTACTATTTTTAATTAACTATTAATTATTTTTATTATTTTAATTTTTAGTTTTGTAAGTATATGATGAAGCATATTGTTACTAACGGTATACCAGTGGGAGAATTTAAGAAAGAAATTATTGAAGAAGCAAAAGTACAAGGAATTGACTGTGTCCTTGAATTAGACAAGTAAGTACATCATGTGACTATCATGTGACTCATTGTGTAGAATGAGATTACGTTACAAGGATGGAGTGTCTCCTGGTAAAGTAGATCGTGATGATATAATTTGGATTAGTTCTTATAGTAAGGAATTGTATGTGGAACCATTGAAAGGTCAGTATATCTCATTACTTGTTCGGTATACTGTGATGTATTGTAGGACCAGAGAAGAAATATGATAAACAGATACAGGTGTATGTTATAAGATGGCGTCCATCACAATGTTCAGTTGATCCAATAGAAGAAATTATACTGGATAATGATGATTCTCCTGATCATGTTATTTATGAGGTATTATTTTAAAAATTAACATGTACATGTATCAGTATCATATTATTATCATTCTTACAGCTGTCACGGTTAAGTGGAGTTCCTGTTAGAGATATCAGCTGTATAAAGGTTAATGACTGATATTATAGCATATTAAAGATACCCATTGTATTAGGGTAAACCATTTCCAGTTGAGGTATCATGTCTTGACATTGAGGATAAGTTGGACTGGTATTCCATCACTTCAGAGAGATACCCAATAAGACTATACAACCAAGATGGATATGTCATATATTACAAGTACTAATGAACACACACACACATTATGTATACACACACACTTACATACACCTCTTACTGTTTATAATTATTTAGAGACAATAAAGAGAGAATGAAAGAGTTAACAGATAAAGAGAGATCAGAAATACAAGAGGCAGAGAAAGCAAGGTCAGTAAACCTCATGTTACGTTTCATCAAGACCATGCTATCAGTTACTTAAAATGTTTCACTTTACCATTTATTATATTGTAGGTTGAAGAAGATTAGGGAATGCAAATCAAAGCATGGACAATAGTATTGGATAATTGTAACTAAATGGATTGTTTTAATTTCTAAGCATCATATTAATTTTTATTTTTGTAATTGCAATCCTGCAAAAAATTACTTGATGCTACATGTATGTAATAATTTTAAGTTGATTTTATAAATAGATTTATATTTTTCTAATTTTGTGCAGTTGTATTATTGGGCGAAGCCCACTCTGATGAGTAGAGTCTGTATGTATGTATGTAGATGTATGTAATATGCACACATGCATAGCAATGCAAAATGACTAATTTAAAAATAATTATTTTAACTGTGCTGTATTACAAATTATAAGATATAATAAACCTACTAGTACATGTAGATCATAAAACACTCACTTAATACACTCCCTGTCTCTATTAGACTCTCTGTGTAAACTACTCAACAGTTTTCTGAGCATTTCTCATGTAAAATAAATTAGTAATAATAATAACAATAATAATTAATAGTATCGTATAGCTTGAAATTTTTGTGGAATGTAAATGTCGTGGTTGAGGGGTTTCCTACGAAATTTAATGAAAATTAAACCACAAATTGCCCCACTAGGAGCAAACCACGAAAATATTGACCCATGAAAATTTCAAGCTATACGGTATCAACCATGTACTATAACCCATGGTTATTTTTTTAAATGGCTCCGAAATCACACCAATTTTTATTACATTTTTTCATACACATTGATGTCCTTATGCTATGTTGCAAGTTTATGCTGCTTCCAACAAAAATTTTCGAGTTGTGAGCATTTTAAAAAAATAGGCCAGTTAAAAAAATAACCAAGGCTATTATCATCATCATTATTATTAATAAACTTTAAAATACACAGAAAATGTATTGAAGGATAACACAGCAACTAGGCTATTTAATAGCAAGTATTAATTATTAATCATTAGTATGCTATTAGTTCATGACGGAAAGGTGGTCCGTAATTCTTATATACATAATAATGTTGAAAATACAATGTAGAGTAGAATTTGCATCACGAAAGTACATGTAAGATATTTCATTTTGTACCTTGTTTCCATTGCTTATTAGCACAAAGCAAATCCTACACAATCTTTTTTTAACTTAGTACAGGGGCTTTGGCTTAATTTTTGAGTAACTTTAAAAAGTTCCTAAAAAATTCAAATTTGATTGAAATTAGCTCAGACATTCTACATAGCATAAGAACATGTATCTATGTATCAGAAAAAATTACAAAACTAAATAATGAATTTTCTACTTTAATTTTAATTTTTGTGTAAGTACCATGTACTAGAGGACTGGGACAAGAGGCTGCATGAGAACTATACCAAACTCCTGGGGAAAACCCTGTCCGACCGTGTCATAAAATTGGCAGGTCAAATTAAGGAAAGTTCAGACAATTAACATCTGAACATTGTTTAATTGTAATTTCAGGCTCAAATTTGAACTGTTCATAATATACAGCATTTTTTAACTATTCAGTAATAATGGATCAGTTGCAAATAAGATAAATGAAAGTTATGAAATAACAGAGACAACACTAAAAGTTGGAACTAAAATGATTAAAATGATAAAAGCCATGTGTATTGAGTACATACATGTCAATTACAAACTTTTCAGTGTACAGTGTTATAATGTCTTGTAAGCATGCCTGCAAAAAAATACGCTTTATCACACATTGAGCACTGGAATGGCGGCTTGTCTGAATGATGCATCAGTACTTGATGTCTTTTCAGATTTAGGAAAAGTTTTCCACACAACTCGCATTTCTGTAATTCTCCAGATTTTTTTAATTCTCCAGTTTTTTTGCAGTTATTCCTAATGTGTGTATGATACTGGAAGAGTGTTGGAAATCCTTTACTACAGGACTGACATGTGAAATAAGGAGGAGCAAACACAGAGGTGCAATTATTCTTCTTTTTGTAGTTGAGATGATACCTCAAACCCGCTGAAGAAGTGAAAGTCTTGCAACAAACTCTACATTTATAGGGATTATTAGCACCATCTAGCGATAAACAATAAAATAGCATTATTATATGGTGTAATTCATACCTATCTCTGTCATGTATTGATCACCATACCACACTAGTAGCTCAGCACCTGGGCCTATTGGCTTTATGGTCAGATAATATATGTTCCTTCGATGTTGGAATGCAATGAGATTCTGTTCATTGTCGTTTCGTGCAAGTTTGACATATTTCAACCAGTTGCTGTTACTCTCTTCATGTGCATCAACATAATATGTGGACTCGCAACACTTGATCTATAAAGAGTATGAGTAAAAATGGGGTCTAGTACTTAATCTATATACCTCCCAAAGGCAGCTAATGTCATCAGTTTCTGTCATTAGCTCATCTTCTGCTATTTTCAATCCCTTGTATGGACCATACCTCACTCCACTGCCTATTACACTGTTAGCATACACTCCTGATTCAGTAACTGTTACTTCTGGTGGAATGGCTATCGGTGAAGTGTATTGCTGCACTATCACAGACTGGGGCCCTTCTGTATTACGAGGCTATTATAACAAGTAAATATAGAAATATAAAACCTAATACAGTGAAACCTGCTTAATTAGGTCACCCCGCTTGGGCCAGTTTTAAATGGCCTGATTATGCAGGTGGCTGCATTACAGATCAGCCTCTGTAATACAGCCATTTAGTACGGGATTTTGGCTTATGGCTGTAATAGAGAGGTGGCCTCATTATTCAGGTGACCTTTAGGACAGGTTTCACTGTAGCTATATACTCTTTTAGTGGTCTCACTTTTTTTGACTGAACGTTAGTCTGTTGCTGAATATGAGATGTACTGGATTTCATTTTCATTTCTTAAGTAAAATTGTAAAAAAAATCACATGATCTAAAAATCATGATAAATCCGCCTTACTTCTTATCTTTCTTTTAGTCACAATCCTTTCGTAATATTCATCATCAGTCGAGCTTTCAGCAGAGCAGGAGCTACTGCTGCTGCTACCACTTATCATCATCATCAAGCCACAATTTTATAGCCACTCCCATAAAATAATTTTGGTTTGAATTTAAAATTATGAACATGCAATTTTAAAATATTCCCAGAAAATGTAGAGCAATTTGTCTAAGCCATTTAATACCAACTAGTCTACAACATTAGCCAAACTAATTGATTATGATCAGAGTCATACAGTTCAAACGTTCTAAATGACAAGATGCATAGATTTATGCATTAGGGTGGGCATCCACTATGCAGCATTGTTGCTTACAATTTGTGGCCAAACCTTTGATGTGGTTGGGCAACATGTTGCATGAAGTAGAGAGAGTCTCAGCTTCATGCAACATGTTGCACAACCACATCAAAGGTACTGGCAACAAAGTTGCATAGTGGATGCCCACCTTTAATTAGAATTGATCGAATACAAATCAAGGCAGTGTTTTAAATTTATATTATGCAGTTTATGGCTATAAGAATTCCATCGAGTAGCTCATTCGTATATTTTTAAATTTAGAGCCAAGTTGTCCACTGAGCCAAGTATAGTGAGAGGAAGTCTTTTGTTCAATTTTATGACAAAGATACAGGCACAACTATAATAACACTTGACAGGAAGCAACTAAACACTTCTACAGACTAGTCAGAGGTTAAACAATGAAGGCTCAAATTCTCTTTCTTGTTGCTACAGTTGTTGCAGTTTTTGCATCTAGCATAATTACTGAGGAGTGTGGTTGTGGTGGTTCCTGTATGAAAACTGTCACAGAAGATGGACAATGCAATACAGGATATAGCCTAGGAGTAAGAAGAATTTTACATTATGCATGCATGATTTTATGCATGCATGCTGTTAGTAGCATACTGTATATTCTGTTTAATTTTTTGTAGCCGCAAGGAATAGGTCCATGGAAATGCTGCAAGGAGCTCGGTGGAGCAGGCTACTACTTCTATGGAGGCAATGGAGCTCCTGCTTTTTGCCAGCCTTGCGATACTGTGGCACCAAATAATACTGGTGTCATGAAATAAGCTCCAGCTCAAGGCAACTGCGTAATATTGACTGGTTTAATAATCATGCAATCATTGCAATGCATACACTATGTTAATCATAAACTTCACATTTAAATAATAATATTATTATTAGTATAATAATTAGATTTTACCAGTCATCAATTATATATAAAATTTTCTATTAAGAAACTTCATGCGTGAACATATAAAAGTGACTAATAACTGAACCATCATCTACTCTTGGTTACTATAATAGTTTACCTCATTAAACTAATTCATGTTGCTACACAGCCTTGCCTGACAATTAGCAAGAGTATATTATATTCAATTGTGCATAGCTTGAGGAATAACTATGGCATACAAAAGTCATTTCATAAAGGTGTACATGTTCATGAAGCCATACAAAGCACTAGGTCTGATAAACAATCATTACGTATTAGGAGTCCACAATGTGCTATGTGGGCCGAGACTAGAGCAATATGTGCTGTGTTGTTGATTGAAAATCCTATATTAGCTAGGGCATTTCATTTTTGTACTAATGCAATTATACAAAGTTTTAAAATTGTTAGTGGCTGTAAAATGCATTAATTGCAGCAATTATTGCAATATCAGCATCATAAACCTATGATCTATTTGTATATACTCTTACTATACTCATAACACCTAGCGATGTTTATTTCTAGAGCCAAGGGCATAACAAGTCATGCCAAGTAGTGAAAGGAAGTCTTTTGTCCTTGTGACAATGATCCAAGCATAATATAATGACACTTCACGTGCTAACCATATACTATACAGAAGAAGAGCTTTGAACAATGAAGACTCAAATTTTTCTCCTTGTTGTTGTGCTTGTTGGAGTTTATGCAGTATTGGTTAGCAGTGAGGCAGTATGCAAGTGTCCCGGTGTCTGTATGAAGGAAGTGACTGAAGATGGTAGATGCAACACAGGATACACCATTGGGAAAGTAAGACAGTGCATGCATGCATGTCTAGCAAATAGCAATGATAGCAAACATGCAGACACAAAAAAACTAAATGCTAATATAGGCATTCTAATTTTGGGGGACAAATTTAGCATCAAAAATTGTGCTTTAACAGCACTTCTATTTTTTTGTGCATGTCTTGCAATATCTCATTTATTTATACAACTATAGCAAAATATTGGTCCATGGAAATGCTGCAAGGAGCTCGGTGGAGGAGGCTACTACTTCTATGGTTTTCGAGGAGCTCCTGCTTTTTGTCAGCCTTGTGATACTGTGGCACCAAATAATACTGGTGTCACAGAATTCGAACAGCTGGAGTGAACTAGCTGGACTGAGTTGAAGGCTGATAAGACTGACTGGCTAAATCATGCAGTGCATACACTATGATACATATTAATCACATTTAAGTATTGATAATTTTATATGGTAGATCTAGTATTATAGCCAGTCAATAATTACTTTCAAGAAATAATAATTATAAAATTTAATTAATTGCTCAAAATGCACTGGACGCGCTATAGGACATTAAAAAATGGAACTAGAATTTTTTAATTTGGCCAATGAACATGGAATACAGCAGACTAGTTGGTATTGATTGGCTTAGACAAAATGCTCAACATTCACTGGGAATATTTTTGAATTTTAATTTTAAAATTGCATGTTCCAAATCACTATGATGATTAGTATATTTAGTAGTAGCAGCAGCTCTAGTCTAATCACTGGTTTATACTTGAGACTAACTATGATCCCTGGACACCGCCTCCTAAAAGTGATGACAGACGAGATCCAGCTAATAAAATGATGAGTGACACTGGATTATCTAAAGTATCTAGTGATTCTATATTCAAGATACTGTCAACTCCTCCAGTATTGAATGATGGTACTATATTTACTGTACTGATGTCTGCTGCTGATCCATCTCTATATACTGGATGGATTAGGGGAGTCTCTTAAAACTTTAGTTTCACAATAAAGTTTTTACTATTTTGATTTTGATCAGAATCAGCTCCAGCATTTTGCATAATCACATGCATAAATTTATGTAATAGAAAATGAGTATGATCATTTTTGATTACAAGTCCAGGCATTAATTTACATTTAGATTATATACAGTGTTATGGCTATAAAAAATTTATTTAGCAGTGCAAGCATATTTTTAAAATTTAGAGCCAAGTTGTCCAGCCAAGTAGTGAAAGGAAGTCTTTTGTTCATTCTCATGACAAAGATACAGGCACAACTATAATAACACTTGACAGGAAACAACCAAACACTTCTACGGTCTAGCCAGAGGTTGAACAATGAAGGCTCAAATTTTCTTTCTTGTTGCTACAGCTGTTGCAGTTTTTGCATCTAGCATAACTACTGAGCAGTGTGCCTCATGTGGTGGTTCCTGTAAGAAAACTATCACAGAAGATGGAAAATGCAATTCAGGATATACCCTAGGAGTAAGAAGAATTTTACATTATGCATGCATGCTGTAGCATATTGTATATTCAATTATTTAATTTTTGTAGCAAGGAATGGGTCCATGGAAATGCTGCAAGGAGCTCGGTGGAGCAGGCTACTATTTCTATGGAGGCAATGGAGCTCCTGCTTTTTGCCAGCCTTGCGATACTGTGGCTCCAAATAATACTGGTGTCATGAAATAAGCTCCAGCTCAAGGCAACTGCATAATATTGACTGGTTTAATTATCATGCAAATGCATACGCTATGTTAATCATAATCATTACATTTAATTATTGTCAGTATAATAATTATGTTTTACCAGTCATTAATATAATTTTGCAAAAAATTAAATATTAACAACCTTAATGCGTGAAAGTATAACTGATAAGGTTGCTACTATAGCTTGATCATCAAGTCACTTAGCTTGATAATTAGCAAGAGTATTATTGTGTAATAGCTCAAGGGCATATATAAGTCATTGTATGTTAGAGTGTACATGTTCATGAAGCCATACAAACCACTGCTTCATTGCATGCATGAACAACTCCTGTTACTTTTGCTATAACTAAGTGATTTCTGTTATAAGAGTAAATGTGTTCGTACTATTGACTAAAACAATAGGTTAATCTATAGCTAAGGCAATTCTTTTTCATACTAATACAATGTTTTGAATTTTTTAGAGGCTGTAAATGTCTTAACACTTAACAGTACTCGTCTCATTACAAAAGGCATATGTGAGCCTTTTGCAGCATTGAACAGCTAAGAATACACCATGTACTTTTACTATACTTTCTATACTCTTAGCACCTAGCGAAGTATGCTTCTGTAGCCAAATGTGTAGCGTGCCAAGCCAACTAGTGCCAGTGAAAGGAAGTCCTTTGTTCTTAGGACAAAGATACAAGTAAAATATAATAACACTTCACGGTAAACAACTAAACATACTACTGTCAAGACAAAAAATGAAGGCTCGAATCCTCCTCATTGCTGTATTTGTTGGAGTTTATGCAGTTTTGGTTAGCAGTAAATGCATGTGCCCTGGTGTCTGTGTAAAAGATGTGACTGAAGATGGAGAATGTAATCCAGGACCAAATAACACAATTGGGGCAGTAAGACAATTACTACTACTCACTAGTCCATGTCTACCAATGCTAGCTAGATAGCAATGCTATAGCATCCAGTATTTAGCTTAGTCTGATTTAATGTACTATATATTTTATTTACAGAAAGACATTGGTCCATGGAAATGCTGCAAGGAGCTTGATGGAGGAGGCTACTTCTTTTCTCCTTTTCAAGGATCCCCTGGTTTTTGCCAGCCTTGCGACACTGTGGCACCAAATAACACTGATATCACAGATCTAGAATGGGAAGGCTATTAAGCTGCAGTTCAAGGCTGATCTAAGACTGACTGGTCAAATCATGCAGTGCATACACTATAATACATATTAATCATATTTAAATATTGATAATGGTAATACTATAGCCAGTCATTAATATTGCTTTCAAAACATAATAATCATAAAATTTAATTAATTAATTGCTCAGAATACATTAGGTGCGCTTTTACTACACTAAACAATAGAACTAGAGTTAATTAACTTTTGCAGTCAAAAAAATTTTATTGTGAATGGTACAAATGTTTTTCAAAGTTTTAAGAGAGTCCCCTGATCCATCCAGTATATAGAGTTGGATCAGCAGCAGACATCAGTACAGTAAATATGGTACCATCATTCAATACTGGAGGAGTTGACAGTATTTTGAATATAGAATCACTAGATATATTAGATAATCCAGTGTCATTCATAATTTCATTAGCTGGATCTCGCCTGTCATCACTTTTAGGAGCCATAGGAGGTGGTGTTTATGGTAAGTTTAGCTCAATGGGGTGCACTCACATTATATTTACACTATTTCACTATGTACAGTTGTTGTAATTATATTTGACTTCAATTTATACATCTAGTCTCTAATACTAAAATGAGTTACAATTATTACAGTTAAAATTGTACTACAGACTATCTAGACTAGAGTAGATACCAGGTGCAGCTTATCAAGATCTATTATGATAATGTACTATGATCTGTACATGTGATGTGCTAAACCGGTAGCATGATCTGTACATGTGATGTGCTAAACCGGTAACCCACCCCAATTAACTGTCTGAGGATTGAGTTGAGGATGGCTCGAAGGATGGCCAATGAGACTGTTGAGACCTCAGTCGAGACTTTACCTTTGGTGCCTTCAAAGGATCTTGAAAGCAGTATGAAAGATTTAGCTACACTGGGAAATAAAGAATATGAGCACCCAGTCTCAGAATATCAATATCTTCGTGAAGTATGGGAGGAACATAAGGTTTCAAATGAGAAAGAAAGTATTTGTGAGAAAGTAGCTTGTTCTATATTAAACCTAGATAAGTGTTGCTGCAGAAATGAAACTCAATCGATTCGTAAAGCTCGTAAAATTGGCCAAAGAATAATTATGATACATGTTCTTCGTAACTTGTTCCATAAAGCTGTATATTGAGAGATCTGTGTGTATCTGGGACTAATAGTCAATATAGCTCTAATAGTTGTGTCAGCAATATTGCTAGGTTACGAAATACAAAGTGATGAAGAAAATATCAAGAAAACACTTCAGTCTATTGGCTTTGGTGTTAATTTGTTTGGCTTAGTCTTCTCTTGCTTCGATACAGCCTTGCTTTTTCGCCAGCATGGGTGCAAAGTTTGTAAAAGGAAATTTAAAAGTTATGAGTCAATTCAACAAAGAGGTGAAGTGAATGCTGAATATTGCAATGATAGATCTAGTTGTATCTGCAAAAGTGCTTGTGGCAAATGGTGTACTGCCATTATGGATGTCATTCGTATTTTAGTTTTAGAGACAATATACTATCCTAACCTACTACTGAAAGTGTTTATGCTCATTGTTCAACAGGCCGATGATAACAGCAGTTTAATAATGATTGTAATTCATTGGTTTGCTGCTAGTGTGAGTTTTTTGAGTATTTTAATTTTTGTCTATCTAAAAAGAGTGTATATTTTTGGTAGAGTAGGATACTTAGCTTGCAAACTAGTCAATAATAATATTATAAATAATTTTTATGTTTGTGTATATCTTTTCAATATTTGTGGTTTTATCATCAGTTTGTATGCATTGATGGTTGTGCAAATAGGCCTAATTTGTATTATTGGTGAATTATTTAATTCTGAATATACAGAAAAGATAGCCATAGAAAAGAGTGGTGCAATATGGTCCCTGATAATTTCAACCTATCTGTTTCCTCTTTTTGGTGCAATGATACTTTTTTATGCCTGCAACTATTGGCTTATGACTAGGCTTCCAGTTGATATCACGTTTTGCTTGATGTCACAATTTCAAACAAAGGGCATGGAGACATATAAGAATCAAGAGGAGACGGCAGCTATGATTAAAGAAGTGTCAGATTACCTTGGGAAAATGTTTCAGAATGACTATGCAAATTTACCAAAGTACAATCAATGATCTTGCTGTATTTGTTTACAAAGAATGATAGTACCATTCTGTTTTTTAATGTTTCTTGTACCTTTTGGGATGTGCTTCATATTGGCTAATCCATGAAGTTATTCATTTATCACGACTACCACATACCAAGCACTCTTGCACATACTTATGTACCTAATATTGCACTTTTGTGACTGATGATAGTTTTTCTTGATTATGTTCTTTTTTTTGGTTTGGTTATGAAATTTTCGTGAACAAAGTCCAGTTTTGTATGTAAATTTAAAATGAGCATGTGAGCACAAACTCCTTCAGTAACTGACATCAACCTAGCTCTTGTAAGAATGAAGTTTGAAAAGCTTGAAAGACAAAAAACAGTATAATTATAACTACATAATAGTAATTAAACACAATAACCATCCCTATTAGGACAGTTCCCTAATCCATCCAGTATATAGAGTTGGGTCAGCAGCAGACATCAGTACAGTAAATATGGTACCATCATTCAATATTGGAGGAGTTGACAGTATCTTGAATATAGAATCACTAGATATATTAGATAATCCAGTCTCATTCATCATTTTATTAGCTGGATCTCGTCTGTCATCACTTTCAGGAGGTGGTGTCCAGTGATCGTAATTAGTCTCAAGTATAAACCAGCGATTCTCAGAACTGTTCAGTCTCCACACATCAATACCAGCTGTTCTATTATGAGTTATAATAGCTCCTTCATCTCCACTGACTCCTCCCACTATAGCATAAAATGGGCCTATAAATTGAGTGTTGACGATCGTATCCACGACCTTTTCAAAATCAGACGAAGGGTCATCAAGAAGGTCGCGAACCTTTAAAGCCAGGAAACTATTAGTTCCCAGCATTGATGCTTGCTTGACATTTAACGTCCAGTCCCCAT